CAATCCCTTCTCCTCCATTCTCCTCTCGGGATCTTGGGCACGCACGCACACGCGCCCGGCGTGAGTTTTTTAAGCCACCGGGTCCGGGACACGAACCGCGGTCGACCACGTGGGAGTCCAGCGACATAGCCATTACGCTAACTGCTGGTTCCCAGCCCAATTAGTTTATTTTTTACAGGAAATGTCTTACAAATATTTTTCTCATATTCCTTATGGAAGTATTAACTTTTTTCTTTGGACTTTGAAGGCCAAAACTTTTCAGTCTTTTTTAATTTTGGGCGTGATTAAAATTTTATGTTACGTATCAGCTATTAATAATAGTAATTTAAAAAAAGAATTATGTATTTAATTTTATTGCAATAATTATTTAAAAATTTGGCCAGAGAAACAGAGAGAAAGGGAAAGTTAGAAAGCAAGTTGCCAGGTACAGGATTTAAACTGTAGGCAGCCACGTGGGAGTCCAGTACCTTAACCACCACACCACCTGCTAACCCCAGTAGTGATTTTCTTAACTATTAAGAGATGTAATAATGTGTAGCTGGCCCCATGGCTTAGTGGTTAAGGGAAGCTGGGTTTCACATGGCCTACTTCATTTTAAATCTTGGTCCCAGTGACTTGAGAAATATACAGAGTTTATGTGTGTTGGTATGCAGGATTCTTATAGGATGGAGAAATGGAGGAGAAGGAATTGTGGTCTGATCTCACTCCATTTTGGTGTGCTTTCTCCCCCTTCCACTCTCTGGCAAGTGTCCATGTCCTCTGGCAATTTAAAATAAATAAATGAAAGAGAAGGGCCAGCAGGTGGCATGGTGGTTAAGGCACTGAACTCCCACATGACCAATTACGGTTCAAGTCTTGGACCTGGTAGCTTGAAACAAGCTGGCTGTGTGTGTATGAGTGTTCAAATTCCTGAAAGAGTGGAGAAGGGACTGTGGCATGGCCATCTCTATGGGGGTGATTTCTTGCTTTACCTGTATCATCTGTTTCTCTGTATCATCTGTTTCTCTCTTACTCTGGTGAGCACATGTGCTCTATAGCAAAAACCTAAAAAAAAAAAAATAGTTAAATAAATGAGATTTAAGTTAAATTTGGGAAAGATTATTCTAAAACTACACTTAAAATTTTTGAAATTTTTTTCTTTCACTCTCACTTTTATAATGATTATTTTCAAGTTTATCCATGTATTTAATTTTGAAATGTGTAACATTTAGTTTATATTTGTCTTTCCACCCTTTTTATTTTCCCTTTACCTGGGATAGTATCCATAGAAACCTGATCATTTTTTGTTTCTATAAAGTAACGAGTTTTGGGGGTCTGATTTTCTTTGTTCTCTGAAATTTCTTTTTAGGCAAAATTTCTCCAAAGAACTATATTTGCTTGTGGTCCTAAACTAAGACATGAAACTGAAAAAAATAAAGTTACTGTTATTTTTTTTTTAAGTCAGAACAGTACCAGCCAGGTGGTGTGGTGATTAAAGCAGCTGGGTCTCACATGGCCAACTGTGCAGTTTATCCAGTTTCTATGGACTCTATCCCAGGTAGAGGGAAAATAAAAAAGTTGGAAAGACAAATATAAGCTAAAATCCTACATATTTTAAAATGAAATGTATGGATAAATTTCTCCAGAGAACTATATTTACATTTGGTGTTATTCTAAATTCATACCTCACTACAAAAGCTAAGTATGCCAAATTTGAAATGTTTTAAGTAGAGTAATGTCTCAGGATAAGTAAATATGCAGTTCTATATTACTGGTAATCAATTGTTATTTTAAAGGTTTTGTCAGTTGCTACTTAGTTCTTAATCTATACAAATCTGCAAGTTTTATACCTGTTTTGAACCCAAGGACAAAGACAAGGAACTAAATTCTAGAGATATCTGAAACTGAATAAAAGTCCCAACTGTGATTAGAGTGTGTCCATTATAATTTAGAGAGGGATTTGGGATAAAGTAATACCTTAATATTATTGTCTTAAATTGACACTAGTAAAATTACTCTGGTATACATTTTATGTACAACTACAAAATCTTTACATATATAATTTTTTAAATTCTCTGTTCTTTAGTTCGACCAGAATTTACTGATACTTTAGCTGTCAAACAGGGATGGCACCCTATTCTTGAAAAAATATCTCTGGAAAAACCTGTTGCTAACAATACCTATATTACAGAAGGGAGCAATTTTTTGATCATTACTGGACCAAATATGAGTGGCAAATCAACATATTTAAAACAGATTGCTCTGAGTCAGATTATGGCCCAGATTGGTAAGTTTTGGTTTTACTCAGTAATTACCAGTTCTGTTCCCTCTTCAAAATTTTTGTGCCTCATTAATATAAGTACTGTCTAAAGTAGATTATCTTACCTGAAAGTTTAATTGTGTATCTACTATGGAGATCACAACTTTTACTATTTGGTATATATTAAGTTCCAATCCCATTTGGATTGCATTGTGCTAAAAATTTGGTCATATAATACAGAAGTGGAAACTTTCTTAGTATAACTGTTAATGTTATATCAAGCATTACTGAATTTAATCATGTAATTATTTCTGGTTCAAAACAAACTTTGTTGTGAACAAGAGTGAAATGAGTATGGTAAGCTACTGCCTTTAATAAACCATGTAATATTTTTCAAAATTATAACATTGTTCAGAAGAACATTTTCCTTGATTAGAGGAATCAAGGAAACCAATAACTTAAACACAGCAGTTGATATATTATATACATACACACTTTCATCCTGACCCAACATTGTCACCTATTTCTTGATGTATAGTCAAGATTTAAATTCTATTTCTGGAAGCTAGGTTTCCTTGAGGACAATATGAGGTGAGATGCTTGGCCCTAATACATTGGTTCTCCGCCAAGGGTGGTTTTAGTTCACGCTTTCCAACCCCTCATATTTGGCAATGTTTGGAGACGTTATTGGTTGTCACTAATGAGGAGAACATAGAGTCCTGGGATGCTGATAAACATCTTATGATGCACATAACAGCTCATCCACCCTGCTAACATATAAGAAATACATAGTAAGAAGCCCAAGATATTAGTAGTGTTTTAAATGAAGAACCCTAATCTGATAGATTTTAAGGGGAACACAGCAATAATAATATTGGTTATACATTGCAAATTCTTCCTTAGTACTAGGAAAGAAAATTAAAGATGGATGAATGAAGGAAGAGTAAATATTTTATTAAGTTTAAAGTTTTATTGGAATTAAAAGGATATCTTAGTTAATTTCTTTACATTTATAAGAATGCTCTCTGATCCATTCGTGAAATAATATTCCTACTTCTATTTTAGTAGGTATGAGGAACTCTGTCCTTTAAAAAACAGGCTAATTGTGGGATCAGCAGTTAGCGTAATGGTTATGTCACTGGACTCCCACGTAGTCGACCGCGGTTCGAGTCCTGGACCCAGTGGCTTAAACTCACGCTGGGCACGTGTGCGTGCGTGCCCAAGATCCCGAGAGGAGAATGGAGGAGAAGGTATTGCAGCATGGCTATCCCCTCTGGAGGGTGATTTCTCACTTTCTATCTCTCTGTCTCTGTCTGTCTGGCAAGTGCACACACCCTATAGCAAAAAAAAATAAAAAACCTCTCAAACAAAACAGGCTAATTGTTAGCTCAAATTCTTAAAATAACCATTTTTATCAAACCGAAATCTGACTTTCTATAACTTCTACTTGTTAATCTTAACTCTTCTGTGTATCACAGAATAAGTTAGTCTGTCTTCCCAATACTAGCTCTTCAATTACTTGAAGATAATCTACTTCCCCTTGTCACTACCTGTCTTAAACTTCTGAAATACCTAAAAGTATATCACTTCTTATGGCCTGACCATAAAAGAAGCAGCGAGACTTGAAAGTCATGGAAGTTAGTCATGTTAATATAGACTTTAGGGGTACTTTTAGCATGTCCAATAAACAACTGTGTAATCTTAGGCAAATTACTTAACCTTTCTAAGCCTTAGTTTTCCTACTTGGAGGTGAAGATTGTAATAGTACTACTTCTAAAATTTATTACAAGGACTAAGCCATGTATATAAAATGCTGCGAATTTAAGAGGAAGTTATCAGAAAGAGGGGACTTCATAAGATCGTGTTTTAAAAGCACAGAGTATAAAAAAATTGTGACGTGTCCAAAGATCTTTGGATAGTTCAGAGGCTTTTTAGGTCCTTTGCATTTAGAGCAAAGCATGATTGTGAGAAGTGGCAATAAATAAAGTTGGAGCTATGAGCAGGATTTAGATCATGAACGGCCTTAATTGGGGAGTTTGAACTTTCTCCAGCAATTTATAGGGAAGTATTGAAGAAATTTAGAAAGAGAATGGCATGATCAGATTTGACCTTCAGATAGATCACTCTGGCTGGTGTATAGACAGATGAGAGCCAAATCAGAAGTAAAATACTTGCCAGGAAGCTTCTGAAATAAAAAAGAAATGTTGAGAAGATATTTAGAGAAAGAAGAAAATACAAACATACCAATTAGTAAGTGCCATATTCTCTACTTGGCACTTTAACATGTACTTTTCCATTTAATCCATCTGAAAACCCTGTAAGAAAGTTTTATTTTAGAGGTTCTTCAATCCTGGGGAATGGTAGGGCCCATATCTGTTTTATTTACTTCAACACATAGTAGGTTTTCAATAAATATTGGTTGAATGTCTCTAAAAAAGAAAGTCAGGATTAAAGACTTGCTCAGGATCACTCAGTATCAATCTTTTGCTTTAGTTTACCTCACTTGCTCTAATAGCTAATATCGAGTGTAACTAGCCAGGCATTGTTTTATGTACCTTGCATATATTATCATAAATACATGTATTAATTACCTAATTAATACTCATAAAAAGCTAATAAGTATTATTGTTAACTCAGTGTTAACAAAGTTTCAACAGGATGGAGAAATGGAGGGGAAGGGATTGAAGTGTGAGCATTGCCCATTTAGGGGTTGTTTTCTCCCTCTATCTCTCTCTGGTTCTCTGTCTCTCTGGCAAGTACACGTACCTTTTGATAATTAAAAATAAATAACTTTTTTTTCCTTTTTTTTGGAGAGGTTTTTGCTATAGGGTGCATGTGCTTGCCAGAAAGACAGAGAGAGACAGAGAGATAGAAAGCGAGAAGTTACCCCCCAGGGGAGATGGCCACACCGCAGTCCCTTCTCCTCCATTCTCCTCTCAGGATCTTGGGCACGCACGCACACGTGCCCGATGTGAGTTTAACCCATCGGGTCTGGGACTTGAACTGCGGTCAGCTACATGGCAGTTCAGTGACATAGCCATTACGCTAACTGCTGGTCTCAAAAATAAATAATATTTAATAAATTAATTATCTAACATGTGAAATGGTGGGTATAACCATTGTTATTATTATTGGCATTATGAATACTTTTTTTTTAATAGTATTAGTCTGACTTTTGTTTCTTTTCCTGTTAGTTCATAGTCCTCAAAGGTAAGTTCTATTCTTCATCCTTCTGTTTTAAATTCTGAAATAATCTGGCTCTGTTGCTTAGCTTTTATTATTTTATCATTTTATCTATACAAAGTTCTGTGATGTGGTATATTTCTTATTTAACTACTTACATATTTTACCTTTTAAGGATTTTTTTTTTTTTTTTTTTGGAGAGGTTTGTGCTGTAGGGCACGTGCGCTTGCCAGATAGACAGAGAGACAGAAAGCGAGAAATCACCCCCCTGGGGGATGGCCACGCTGCAATCCCTTCTCCTCCATTCTCCTCTCAGGATCTTGGACATGGACGCATACGTGCCTGGCATGAGTTTTAAGCCACTGAGTCCAGGACGCGAACCGCGGTCGACTACATGGAAGTCCAGCGACATAGCCATTACGCTAACTGCTGGTCCCACCTTTCTAGGATATTAAGATGCCTTTTGTGTCCTGTTCTGTATAGAGATGGTTGCATTCATCATATTAATTTGTTTTCAGAAGGTGAATATTTTAGATTAGATAGGACAACTTCTCAGGCATAACAGACTCATAGATGCAAATTCACTTTTTTTTCTTTATTTTTAAGTTTATTTTATTCATGATAGTGAGTATGTTTGTGTGCGTAAGAGAGAAAGGGAGAAAAGCAGCTATGGCAGGGTTTTGTCATGCCATGATCCCCTTTCCCTGGCCCTCCAGTTCCTCAGGATCTTTGACATGTCTACTGCATCTGGCATATTTTAAGCCAACCCAGGAATCCAGACCCATAGTCAGCCACATGGCTCCTAGCATTGCAGTTTAGTTTCTACTGACTGTACCACTAGGAGTGACCTCTTTTTTCTTTTTAATAAATGTTTTCCTTTCATTCATCTTCTGGTTACTTTTGCATATTCCTAATAATAGTAATTTCCTATTACATTTTTATATAATGATTTTTATCAAGTTGAACTTCATAAGCATTTCCTTAACATTTTGTATTTCCTATTCATAAGCTTCATGAACATTTTCTTCAGATTTTCATATTTTGAATGTGTATCATTTAACTAAATTATTTAAAATTCTACTCAAGTTTATAATGGTATCTTTATGATGTACTGAGATACATACTATCTAATTTAAACAACTTCCAGATAACTTTATACAGTAGGTAAGGCGACAATGTTCATTTTATATGTGAGAAAGATGAGATTGGAAAACTTCAAGTGCTGTCCCAGGTTATACAATAGGTGATAGAGTTTGTACCATATCTTTTAACTCCACAGCTGGTGCATTTTACACCACATAATCCTAGAAAATGATATCAGAAGTACAAAATGTTGTTAGTGCTTGTATCTTATAAAAGCATTTTAGTTGCTTTTGATCTTGTATTTTACAGGATCATATGTTCCAGCAGAATATTCTTCCTTTAGAATTGCTGAACAAATTTTTACAAGAATCAGTACTGATGATGATATTGAAACAAATTCATCAACTTTTATGAAGGAAATGAAAGAGGTAACTTTTTTTTAATGTTAAAACATATTAAGTTCTCCCACAATGGTCAATCATGATGTAAGAAAGTATTCTTATTCTAAAACATACAGATGTGCTCATACTCCTTCCTAAGAGCCAGAGGGCAGTCAAAGACAGCATCCTAATTTCTCTTATGTGAAAATGGAAGCAAACGTTTGATTGAAAAATACAGTTTTAAAAGAAAAAGCTAGTGTTATTGAATCATAAAAGTGTGCTTATGTGATTTTACATGGGGTATGTAAAAGCCTTTTTTGGAAAATGATGACCTGTTCAGCACCATTTTGCATGGTATCTATTGTTCCTCTTAAACTTGATTTTAAAATAAAGTATCATTGTATGAGGAGGCTTTTTAAAATCATCTTCTTCTTTTTCCATATAAAATTTTTACTATCTGTACCAAAATATGTATCATTACCTATTATTAATCTAAGCAAATGCAAAGTAGGCTTGAAGGCTAAAGGAAGTTAAGTGCAGATGCGCCTCAATTTACAATGGGATTGCGTCCTAATTGTAAATAGAAAGTATCATCAGTTGAGATGCATTTAATATGCCTAACCTACTGAACATCATAGCTTAGCTTAGCCTACCTTAAATATGCTCAGACACTTACATTATCCTGCAGTTGGACAAAATAATCTAACGCAAAACATATTTTATGAAAAGGTTTTGAATATCTCATGTAATTGAATATTGTATTGAAAGTAAAAAAAGGATGGTTATGTGCATATTCAAAGTTCAGTTTCTACTGAATGTGTGTTGCTTTTATACTATCATAAGGTTGAAAAATATTGAGTCAAACCATAGTAACATAGCCATTCAGTATGTGTTAAATAACTATGGGAGAGTGTAGCAATTATACTAAGTGATTGAGGTTATTTTTAAATGGTCCTCTCCCTGAAGAATCTTAGTACCAAAGAAAGGGAAAAGCTTACGAAAGTTATTATTGTGCCATGATATAATGAGGATGGAATTCTATTTTTTCTTTTAGTGTTTGCTGTAGGGCATTTATGCTTGCCAGGGAGAGAAAGACAGAAAGGGTTAAGGGCAACCTGCATGGGGGAGGGGCGGGGATTGATGGCCATGCCTCAATCCCTCCTCCTCCAGTTTCTTCTTGGGACTTTTGACATGCACCCACACACACCCAGAGTGATTTTCAAGCTGCTAGGTCTGGGACTCTATCCACGGAATCAGCCGTGTAGGTTCCAGTGTCTTAACTTCCATGCCAACTGCTGGCTGGAGTTCTACTTTTTGAGATAGAGACTAGTAATCTTCAACTGAAAGGAGCATTTCTGTCTGCTTAAACCTTTATCTTTGTTGGTCATTGATTTAAATTTGTTTGTTGAACCCAGTATCAAGACTTCAGGACTTTTTCCTAAATTTTTCTTTTTTGTCTTTACTGGCTATAGAGATATACTAAAATAAATTTGAGAGATGGTTTTGAGTATTTTATGACAGCAACTGATTAGTGTTTGTAGAGAAAAAAATGATCATCTTTGTGCTTTATTGAAGCACACATCTCATTGTTTTGCTTTATTTCACTGTTATCTAAAATCATCAAAATTTTCGGTAATGATTATTTACTCTGTTGTTTTATACAGAAATGCTTATGTCTATTTATATACACATATGCTATTCTATTGGAATTATTAGTCTTGAGAATGTGTTATTTTTTGCCAGGTAGGATTTCCATTAAACTGCATTTTAAATGAACTAATAAGGAGACAGGATTTTCCTAATATTTTTCTAGAAAGGTGACAGATGTTTAGTTACAATGAATAATATTAAAATTTTATTTTTCAGATAGCATATATTCTACATAATGCTAATGACAAATCACTCATATTAATCGATGAGCTTGGCAGAGGTACTAATACAGAAGAAGGTATTGGCATTTGTTATGCTGTTTGTGAATATCTGCTGAGCTTAAAGGTATTCTTCCCTATTTATTTTAAGAGTCTCTTTTATAATGTATCCTTTACATATTTATCATGATTGAATTTTGCAGGCATCTACAAATAGGTTTTTAAACACATTAGGTAGTAAGCCCATAGCATTTATATTTTTGTTTCTTTATTTCTCATAGAAGTGGGAATGATTATCGGGTTGTCAGAAAAGTCATGATGCAGTTTTACATAGGAAAACATAGAAAAATATGTCATGACTTTCTTGATGGCCTAATGGTATGCTAACCTTGAGGTAGATAAGGGAGGGAGTAAATCAGGAAGTATAAATAATGTAAAAATGAATCAGTTGACTTTAATAAAATTAAATAGCAAAATGTTAAGGCAGTGATCAATAGTTTGGCTGCATGGTCAGGGACTTGGAAATAATGTGATTGGAAAAGTAGTGACAAGAAAATTTGAGAAAGATATGAGTATAGAAGTCTCTAAATGGGCAAAACACATAAGGATACTTGTTCCTATGTGAGTCCTTGCCAAAAGATGACCTCAGCAGAATAGGATTTGAATAATAAAGTAGATAGGATGATGTGTTTTATGGATACTAGTCTGCTTCTCTCTCTAACCACCCATCATCACCCAGTGAGCTCATGAACGAAGTGCCAATGGAAGTTATGCATGGTCTCAGAAACAGGTGTTCATTCACTGAATAGCTGTTGCCACCATTGAATGCAGAGTTTAAAAAGCTGACTAGCTGTTGCCACCATTGAATGCAGAGTTTAATAGCAGTGAAGACCAACACTGAGTCTCCAGTATCCTGAGGTGATCATTCAGCTGCTTGGTGGCAGGTTGATTACATTGTACTACTTTGATTTATTCTTACTGCAATAGACTGTTAGTCTGGATACAGATTTTCCTTCCCTAGATGTAATGACCCTGCCAAATTTACTACCTTTGGATTTTTAGAATGCTTCATCTACCCTTACGCTATCCTACACAGCATTGTTTCTGACTAAGTAACTCTCTTTACAGCAAACACAGTAATGCAAAGGGCCCATGATCATGGAATTCACTGCTTTTACCATGTTCTCCACCATGGAAGAGCTGGCTTGATAGAACATTGTATTAGTCCTCTGAAGACTCAATTATAACACCAACTAGGTGACCACATGTTACAGGATGGGGACAAAGTTTTTCAGAAGGCTGTATATGCTCTGAATGAATCCTCAATATGTAATGCTGTTTGCCCCATAACCAAGATTTGTATGTTCAGGAATCATGGAGTAGAATTGGAAATGGCATTATACCCTATTACCCCCAGTAACTTGCAAGAAAAAGGTTTTGCCTCTTGTTCCTCTAACTTTATTCTCTGCTAACCTATAGCTTTTAATTACGGAATAGTGCTTTCCCCAGGAGACATAATGATTCTTTGAGCTAGAAGTTAAGAATGCCATTCAGCTATTTTTGGGTTCCTTATGCCTTTATTATTTATTTATTTATTTATTTATTTATTTATTTATTTATTTATTTATTTATTTTTAGAAGGAGATTTTTGCTATAGGGCACATGTGCTCACTGGAGAGGCAGAGAGCAAGAAATCACCCCTCACCCCCAGGAGGATAGCCACTTCACAGTCCCTTGTCTTATATTCTCCTCTTGGGATTTGAGCATGTACACACACACACCCGGTGTGAGTTTTCAGCTCCCAGGTCTGGGACTCAAACTGTAGTTGACTATGTGGGAGTCTAATGACATAACCATTACACAATATGCAGGTGCCAGGTTTCTCATGCCTTTGGATCAACAAGCAAAGAAGAGAGTTACTATTTCTGGCTGGAGTGACTGATCTTGACTATCTAAGAATAATGGGACTACTCCCCAAAGAGTATGTCTGGAATACAGGAGGTTCTTTTGAGTGGCACTTATCATTGTATTATGATATGGCCTGTGATTAAGATCAGTGGGAAATTACTGGGTTGTCAGAAAAGTCATAATACATTTTTGCAACACATGGTGCTAGTTCATTTTTAGAAGTAATAAAGTCTTCACATCTGTTATTGCTATGTCAGTTGATATCGGACTGTTCTAGCTCCATTCTTAAAAAAAATGATTTGGTTGAGTTTTAGATATTTTACAAGAAGTTGAAGGTGGAAGACCAAACAGTGTATTTTGCCATATTTTACTATTTTATTTAAAGGGAAGGATTTGCATCAAACTTGTGAAAAGTTACGTGAAGTTTATGGTGACAATGTTCTACAAGAACATTAGTGCCAATGATTCATAAAATTCCGTGTTGGTGATTTTGACTTCAATGATGCTCTTTAGTCAGGGAGATCCACCAAGGCTAATGACTGCAAAATAAAAGCATTGATTGAGTCAAATCTATGTTACATAACATGAGAGACTGCAGAAACATTGAAAATCTATCATTCAAGCATTCATGACCTCCTGAAGAAGCTGGGATATATAAGCAAGCTCAATATTTGGGTTCCTCATAACTTAAAGATGTCTATTTGATGGCACATATAAACATCTGTGATATGCTCATTAATTTGAGGAAAAAAAAATCCATTTTGAAGCAACTGATAACTGATGACAGGTCGATTGTTTACAACAATGTAGTGTGCAAACAATCTTGGTCCCAATGTGATGATTCTCCTCAAATGAAATCAAAAGCAGACTTTCATCAGAGGAAGGTTATGCTCTCAGTGTGGTGGGATTTTAAAGATGCCGCTTGTTTCGAGCTCCTACCAAGAAACCAATCAATTTGAAAGTGTACTCTTGGCAACTGGATATTTTGAACAAATCCCTCATCCAGAAATTTCCAGAGCTCATTAATCATAAAGGAGTTGTGTTCCATCACAATGCGGGACCACACACAAGTTTGATCACCTGTCAAAAATTATTGAAGTTTTGATGGGATGTGTTGCCACACCCACCATACATGTCTGACCTTGCGCCATCAGGCTTTCACTTGTTTAGTTCTCTTCATAATTCCTTATGTGGTACAATGTTGAATTCAGATGAGGCTGTAAATCAGAACCTTGTTAAGTTTTTCACCGATAGTGATAGGTCCTTCTACGAATGAGGAATTATGATGTTCACTGAAAGATGGAAAAAGGCTATTGAACAAACAGGGAAGTATGTCATTGGTTGATCTTTGTTCTTTATATAAATAAATGACCTTTGAAAAACACAGAAAAAGCATGTCATGACTTTTCCAACAACCCAGTACAACAACTCAACCTAGGCAGGAAGTATGAATGGCTAAGACTCTTTCAGAATGCAGATTTGGGTCACTTCACCAGTTAAAATGCTATGACTAGATAGAGTGCCTGTTGAAGGCAAAGAGAATACAAGATAGAATAGAATAGGGAACCAGCAGTTGGCGTAATGGCTATGTCGCTGGACTCCCATGTAGTCGACCGCGGTTTGCGTCCTGGACCCGGTGACTTAAAACTCACGCCGGGAGCTGTGGCGAGCACTGCATACGGAAGCCATCTCGAGCTATCCGCCATCTTAGAAACCATTAGGCTTCACTTCCTCACTGAGCAAATCGTTTCTCAGAAATCATGTGACCAACCCTTCTCCCCGGAAGTGGTTGGGGTTCTAGGCAACGGGAGGGATCCACCCACATCAATGATTGGTTCATGCTGTTGTATCTCATTTGCATTTTGGGCAACCAGTTGGTTCCCACCAGCTGTATATAACTCGCCATTTTTCCTGAATAAACGGAAATAGATGAAGACGACGACTTAATCAGCACCTGGTAGTGTGTGTGCGTGTGTTTGTCCCATCTCTCACTCCCTCCCCCAAAAAACCTGTTCCACGGTCCCGCAGGCCGAGACAGGGAGCGTGTGCGTGCGTGCCCAGGATCCCGAGAGGAGAATGGAGGAGAAGGGATTGCGGCGTGACCATCCCCCCTGGGGGGTGATTTCTCGCTTTCTGTCTCTAATGTCTCTCTCTGTCTGGCGAGTGCACGCACCCTATAATGAAAATCTCTCAAAAAAAAAAAGATAGAATAGAATAGATGGTAGATGCCACTTTTTTATAGAAATGAGGACTATAATTATCATAATTATTTATTTCTTATTTTGTTATCAATATGAAAGTAGTTAAAAAGTTTGTAAAAAGATGAAATTAAAGTATGAGTTTGGGCCAGCCAGTGGCATGTTGGTTGAGGCAGCTGAATCTCACCATATGGATGACTGTGAAATATGAGTTCCAAGATCCCAAAAGGGGGAGATATGAAAGAGAAGGTATTGTGGTGTGACCATTCCCTTTGAGGGGTGCTTTTACTTGCTTCTTACCTGACTTTCCTTGGTGAGCACATGTGCCCTTTGATGAGTTTTAAAAAGTATGAGTTTTTCTTGATACAAAAAAATTTTGAAAGCCATGCAAACTTTTTTCATAATACATATTTTCCATAAACTTTTTGAAAACTCTCTTATTTTTATATATATATATATATACATATGTTAAGCAAATACCTATTTCCTTTTATTTCCTTATCATGTAACACAGATGCACTGACTTCATATTCATACTATTTTTTATTAGACTTATTGTTATTTATTTTCTTCTTCTCTTTCTTCTTTTTAAATTTGCTATAGGGCACATGAGCTTACCAGCAACAAAGAGGGAAACTGAGAAAGCATCACTCAGAGAGATGGCCACACCACAATCTTTTTTTAAAAAAAATTTTACTTCATTTTCTTTTATACATTCAATCATGTTATTTAGCTTACAAAGTGAATATTTCAACATGTGAACCTTTTTTCCTAGTCCAGTTGATAAAACTATAAAATTATCTTC